TGACTTTAGAAAAGGTGGACAAAATCCTGGGAAAACTGATGTCAATGGCAAAACTTCCATTGATGTCAGTGGGGCCAGCATTTCACCCAGTATGTTTATGTGTCTTCTAAAAGCACTGAGATTATAGCAGTATAAATGTTTATCCTATTATGAAGTGGAAAGGATGAGTCCAAACTTTCCCCATCATGTTGCTGTGAGCACAGAGGTCTTTTATAATATAAATGTAAATATACAATCTGTTTTACAATGTTTTCCATCATCTTCCCCTTCCATATGTTCTCCCACTAGGAATCTAATGAGCTCTACATATGAAGGATGACAAGGGAATATGTCTAAGAAATAATTCCAGCAATTATGGCATATGGAGGCATTGTTTTCAAGTCCCTTTTACCATGAACATTAGGCAGAGCATCTGGGACCAAATTCTGCCTACCTGGCCCATGGACATTAGCAAAATAATCTTCATCTGTCTGTAAATTCTACTGAGATCATCTGCCATTACAAAGAGGACCATTCCATCAGCTTTATGAGCAGTGAGCATATTGAAGTACAAATCATCTACATTTAGGCAAAAATGTTTTAATGCCCACAGAACAGCCTGTGCTGGATACCACTTTAGGAAATGATAATGTAAGTAGGTCTCACTACTTCCAGAAGTGCTGCAAATCTTTCTATGTCACTTCCAGGCCACTGCTAATAAAGCACTTACCTCTTTAACCACCACTCCGATTTCTCTGTGATCCTAGTTCCTGCCTGCACACAATGAGCCATCTTGTCAGAACTGGATGAATCCCAGCACAAGAAAAAAAAATAAAAGGAGACAAAAAAAAATAAGGAATAAAGAGGAAAAAATTGAACTCCACATCAGTAAAGGGGCACGGGAGTTATATTCCTTAGTTCCAAACACTGGCACTTCCTTCTAAACAGATAATGCTGCCAGAACCTACCAAAACAGGAAGAGAAAAGATATCAGATACCTCTCTCTGATGATGTATCAGAAAATCAGCTGGTATGCATTTCTTTGGTGCTCTAGATACCACATCAGGGCCATGGTGGATAAATCTGGACTAAGGAAGTTCAATGCTTCCCATATTTTAATATTTCACAAGGGAGAAACTAGTTCTCTGGGTTACCATTTGATATTCATTCAGCCCAAGAAGTGTTTTTCAAGAGGTAGTGTACAAAACCAACATTGAGTTTCACGGATTTAAGACAGTGAAGATGTTATATTTATATTCTTTGAATAATCATGGAAGAACTTGATGCCACTCTACCTACCATGCTCCAGGGATCTAGAGAGGGGGGAAAAAGTCAAGTTAAATCCAGAAAAATGCTCCATCAGAACAGCAAAAGTGAAGTATTTTCATCACATTTACCCAACTGCAGCTATCAAGTAGTCAGGCATCAGAAGCCATAGTCCCACAGAGAAAATGGTTTCTAAACTAGAAAAGATATCAGTGATGATGCTACATTAGACAAAACAATGTAGGCTTCTGGAAGCTCAAGCAGATTCACTTGCAGAATTCCCTCTCTATACTGGGAGGTCAGGGTTTGCCTCTACCCAGCCCATCAAATATGCAGGGAGTTTAGCCCCTCATCCTGCAGATTTTCAAGGATTCACCATCAGAGCTCAGGGCTTTTCACACACAGAGGCTTTATGCCTCTGCACTTCCCATGGTACCACCAGCCCCCTCCTCAACAGAGCAGCTCCAACTGTATTAGCTTGCCAGGGACTTTCTAGCCAGGTCCTTCCCCAGAACTGACCCTAAGGGGTGTTGCCTGCATGGAGGGATAGGTGGCTGTAACAATAAACAACTTAACTGTGACTCCGTATTAACTTTTGTGAGGATTCCTGTATGAGTTGGTGGTGGGATGATGCAAATTCCACTGGGCCTGCCCCTTTCCCAAATGTAGCTCCCTAATTTTGGGGCCCATCTGATCTGAGAGAAAGGGAAATAATGGGACTAAGCTATCAAAATGGCACTCCCTTCCTTCTACCCGTCCTGGCCTATGAGCCATATCTATTGTGTCTCCATCCATAAAAGCAGAACAGATGATTTGGTACCTTCATTGATGTAACAGCAAAGGCCTATTTGTTTTTTAAGTAAAGTTTTGAAAGTATGAAAATGCCTTATAAATGTACTGATATTACGTGGAATAGTTCTCAATACTATTTAGTGAATAAATGCACCTGATTCTGGCTGCAAGTCCTTAGATCACTGCTGAGGTTGATCTGATGAATGATGTTTTATCTGAAAATATTAATGACAATCAATAAACACATATGACGACTTCTATTTTGATTCTATCCACACTACCAGCAAACATTTCAGTGTGTGATGTAGAGAGAATAGGAAGAAATGGAAAATAACTTGAAAAGGAATTTACCAGTTTTCCATAGCACACTAGCCCAAAAGTTCACAGGGCACTTTACTGACTAGTCACATGCTTCTAGTTAAGCATGTCCTTAATTACCTTGCTGAAATAGGTCTTACAGGCCTTATCCTGCAAGAGGCTGGCCACCCTCAACTCCCATTGAGGATCTCACCCAGATCCCAAAAAAGTCAGTGGGGGTCTTTCCATTGACTTCAATAGGGTTTGGATCAGACCCCAAATGCACGTTGTTCCTTTGGTTAGTGGAGCAAAATTCCCCACCACCTCACAATGGGATCCACCCTCCGAACCACACAGTTCCATACAGACCTTGCTTATAAGTGGGAGGTTAGGATTATTGGAGATCTCTTACACTGCCATACTAGTCCTATGTCCCCAGCAGCTCTAGTGGTGGAGCTGAACTACCAGGGCTTCCTCTGGCTACTGCTGCCCCTGGGAGCCTATTTCACAGAGATCTGAGGGACAAAGACAGAGAGAGAGAACATACTAATAATATTTGATATGTCACTGGAAATAGTTTTCTTGTCAGACAATCTTAAGCTTCTCTTTGCAATGAGAGATGTTGGCAACATGTGTCATCGGCTGTCAGAAAGATGTAACAGAAAATTCAGATCTTTCGTGTATCACATTTTGTAATCAGCACATAAGTGGTTCAAGCAAACATAGAAGTTGTACAACAGAAAGCCAAGGAGGACATTTTCACTAAAATATTTAGACCAACTGCCTGTGAAGTGGGAGCAGATCGCTTTTGTAAGCTCTCATAAATGACTTTAAAGATGTAATTTGGGAACATTTTCTAATACCATGAAAGAACAAACATTAAGTGTTTTCCAGAAGAAGAACTGAATTGTGAAGCCTGACAGCTGTGATTAGGTAATGTTCATAGTGCCATTTAATAGCACTGAAATTATGAAAAACTATTTAATTCCATCAGATTGTTTACTTGTGTCATTTTTGATGCAGAGCTCAAGAGATTTAACTATTAGCAAGAAAACAAAAAAGATTAAGATGATATTAGCATTGCAAATCAAAACCATGTTCCACTTGCCAGTATCTTGGCTAGCAGCTGATGTACAATAATTTCAGGCCAAGGAATAAGACAGTAAATTCACAGAATAGATGTCAATCACAGTTTAGTGTTTTCTATCTGTATTCCTGTGGATGTCAGTATGTTAAATGATAGCTATATAATCACAACCTGTTAACAAAATGCATATGCATTTATGATTATGCAAATACTTGACAGATCACTTACAAAATAATATACATTATAATAAACTTTAGTTTCAAAACAAAATTGTTCTATGCATCTTGTGTAATGATGTAAAGCATCTTGAGATTATGTGAAAGATACTATACAGAAAAAGTTGCATTGAATTAAGTGTGGTGTCACAATGAAGTGTTGAAACATTGAAACAGAAATAAAATTGTTGTGGATGGATCTTTACTGCCTTGAGTCTCAATCAGTGTCGCTGCTTGGGCTAGAATATTGAAACAAATGGTTACAGTGCTATTAAAAATGGCAATAGCAGCAGTAGCAATATTTGACTTGATTAACATTCAACACATTAACAAGACATATGCTTGCAATACTTTTAAGTGTTATTTCATATTTATTAGAGATGGCTGGGAATTTTCTGTTGAAATGATTTTCAGACAAAAAAAATAAAGTTGATGCAGGAAAAATTAGATTTTCCTGAAAATTTACATTTTCTATCAGGAAAATAGAAATGAAATATTTATTTTCAGATCAGTTTGACACAAATTGGAATATTTAATTTTGCCAAACAGACCCAAAATATTTTGTTTTGAATCAGTTCAACAAACCATTAAGCTGCATTTTCCTATCAGAATGTTGCCTTATGGGAGTTATAGTTTGGGTCCCAATTCTTTCATATGGCTAGGCTCTTTGGAGGACTCCATCTTCCATAATGCAATTTAGATTTCCCTCTGACTGAGCTGCATGATGCATTGTGCGAGTCACATGATTCTGGAGATATGGACCAACCAGGTAGCCTGTTCCATAAGGGAAAATGGGGGCATCAGGCTCCTGAACTACAACTCCCATGAGGTAATGCAGTTTAGTGTTTAACTGACTCATAACAAAATGTTTCACGTCAGTACAACAGAACAAAACAAAAATATTTTCTTTTTGGTAATGGCTAAATGCTTTGTTTTGGTCAAAAATGTCCAAATCATTTTTTTTTTTTTCAGAATTTCCCTTCTGTGAAAATTTTTTAATATTTTGTCCCAAAACCAAATGCTTCTATGTCAGAGTTTCCCACAGGATGGTAACTCTGAATTTTGCTCAACTCTAATATTTATCGTTTGAAACATGACAGTATGTGTCATAGAAAACAATGCTAAAATATCTCTTCAAACTCCTTCCTTCTGAAAATTTAAAAAGGTAGAATTTGCTCCAAGATTTTCTAAGGAAACATGAAATTAATATAGTCCATGATCTTCTTTTCCACTGGGTATAAAAACCTTTGCTCTATGGGTAAAAGGAACCGATCTTCTAAGTGCATATCCATACAGGGGAGTCAATTTGATATCACAATTTTATTCACTTGTTATGAATAGTCACAACATTAATCTACTGCAGATAATCTATTCAGTATATTTGAAAATCCATTTATTTTCACCTATTGATAAGCATCTGTTACACTTGTATATAATACAGTATTTTCAGTGTTGATTCAGAGAACAAAGTCAAAGGAAACAAATATTGAGAAGCATGATACAGTATTTTGATCAAATTAAGGCCAAACTCATATTCTACAAAATAACACATTTATAATTGGTACTGTTCCAAACAAAGGAATTACTTTTCTCCTTAAGATGCTCTTTTAGCACAAATCCATACAATATTAATGCATTTGAAAAAACAGATAGCTAGTGGTGCTACAGTTTATCCAAATTAAATTTTAATCAGAAAAGAATATCTTTCCCTGCCAACATTTTTGATTATTTCTCAGCAGAATGATGAAATGTACATCTCAAATTATTCCCAACAATCATTAATTTTTAGCTCTCCTGTGCAATAACACAGGAGGTTTAATGAAATAATCTTGGAAGAGCCTAGGATACTGTAACTAACCAGAGCACTCCAGTGTGTTCATCCATCATGGAACCCAATTTATATCTAATTAGCCATGTCAATGGGTTGTAACTATAAAAGGACTTCCCCCTGCTTTTTTTAACATTCCGGTAACCATGCAGGCCGTTTGAATGAGACTGCCCACACAATTATTTTCACTAGGTCTGAGTTGCTGTGGTCTTTGACTCTATTTAGACAATAAAGCATACTATCTAACTCTCACTCTCTCTCTCCGGTTAGCATGCTTATGCAGCATCAATACAGTACAACAATGAATTATCAGGGTTCCTTTGTCTTAGTATTACCAGTGGTACTGAATATATTAAATGGAGTATAAAATTATACATTCTGTAATAACTTAGAAACAAAATTCATATATGTTTAAGGCCTTTAAATATTAAGGGTTTTCATAGAACAGTACATCACAAAAAATTGCTACAGAAATAGAAAATAGGAAAATAAATGTTAATTAGGGGAAATGACTATGGAAAGTCCCAGAAGACCTGGACTGGATAACTATAAGCAAAACATTTATGAACTTCAGATTTGGGGGGAAAGATTTTTTCCCTCTATTAACAGACTGAGCAGACATCTACATAAGCATCCAGATAGTACTTGTGTTCAAGCAAGAGATAGTTTAAAAAAATAAATAACTAAAAGAAACTCTGAATGAATGCCATCCAATCTCAGAATTGTAAAACTTGCATGCATCCCTGTCTACCTTTACAAAAAGGGACTAGCTAATGTCATTTACTGCTTACTGTCAACTTGAAAGGACTTAAGGTTAAGAAAGTAAAGGACATACCAGAAACACCCATCATCTTCAAACTAAATGGAAATGTATATTTTTAAAGGTATAAAATACTTATAATGAAACTGCCAAAGAGCTACAGTAGTTGGTTAGCCTTAGGGAAACATGTCAGGCTGGCTATACATTCTTATATGATTGATGTATTCCGATAACTATTACTTGTCAACAATAATTATTAACGATGGATATATATTTCCATTCCTATAACAAAAGCAACTTCAAGATGTTGAAACATGTAGCCTTTCAGAGATCCAAGATTAGAAATACAAATAAAAAGGTCTAAAACTGCGCTATGCCAGAGGACAAGTTCTGCAACATAAATTTGATTAAAGTAGCGTGCAGTCCCACCAGCAATTTGTACATAGAACCAGGGAACATTTCAGAGTGAAAGAACCAGTACATTTCGAAGACTGCTTTTGTAAAGATGAAAAGCCGTCAGTCTGGAATGGAGAACCCGAAAGATTGCTGCCTCTTCTACACCCTCTGAGCATCACCGCTTTAGATTGCAGCCATAAATTCCTCAGCAAGTGCAATTTTGTAAGTGTACATAGTTCAATCAGCTGAAATCTCTGTGACAAAAAAGTTCACAATGACTTTCCAGTAGTTTTGATCTCAAGCTGTTGCTGATTACAAGCCAATACACCCCAGCAGTGTAAACTCACTTCAAGGATTGCCTGGAGGGAGGTATGAAATTCCTGTTACGTTAGCATTATCAGACTTGAGATAGACTTGAGTTGTCTTTAGCTATCGGGTTACCTGTAAAGAAAAAGAAAATTAAAGAATATCAAAACTTTAGATATAGCATCTGGTGTTATGTAGTGGAAATGGGTTTATGAGACCGCAGTGTAGAGGAGCACTTAAATGTGGGCATGATTATCAGCAAGTGATTAGTCTCACTGATATGAAAATGGGGTTACTCATTGCTTAAGTGACACATGTACTTCAGTGCTTTGCCTCACCAGGCCTGAAGGAAGCTGTTATCTTAACTGTGACTGTGCTTAAAAATGTGGGGTTTTCTGTTTTGAAAAAATTCCATAGGCCACAAAATAGGCTCCACACAGTCAGAAGTATTAATTTTTACAGGAGCTTTCTGTGCTACCTCCATCAGCTCCAACATAAGAGGATGTCTGTTGTAACAACTCTGCTTTCACAACACTTTTATTGGCTGGCCTTGAACAGAAAGGGTGATTTGGAGATTTGTTTCTTATTTCTTCATATTTTCATACTATATTCAGATGTATTATCCTATTAAAGACTAACTACATTTTAGCAAACAGTAATAATTTAGTGGGGGGGGAGGGAGCATTTGAGAATAAAAGCCCACATAGCATAAGCAAGAGCTAGGTTTACCCTATTATTCACTGCTCATACAATAACTATCAAAATTTCACTTGAGCAGTTTCACCCAAGCTAACATAAACCAGAAGGACCACAGGGAAAGCAAGTCGGAGACAAAATATTTCACAATAATTGGATTTTCCCTATGTCTGATTTGTATTTTAAACATGAAACATTTAAAAAACAACCTCTGTCATATTAAAGAAATATTAATTTCAGGAATATTTCTGCTGTATCAGTGGTTACAATTAATGATCATGTTACTTTTTAATATAAAATTGTGTCAAGAGACACTATCCCTACTCTTCAGGAGCAATGCATTGGATTGGTCACAATCAGTGTCTATAACATCAAGGGCCATATGTTTTACATTTTGATCAGAGAGAGAAGGGTCATGCTTGTTAATGATGAAGCATTCCTTTGCCCTCAGCAAAATCATTTGCATACAGCTCTTGTCAGCTCTGCAGAGCAGAAACATTGAGCAGAATTTTAAAAGGATTGATTTAGGAGTTTCATTACTTAGTTTTGCCTTCAATATTGGGAAATTTCTAGAATTTGCACTAGAAAAGCAGTAATAAAATTGTGCTTTGTGATTTCTATGACTTATGTTTATTACACTGCTCTTATTTCACTGAGTTTTCACTGGCTGAAGCAGCCTCATATGACTATTTCTTCTGCACAATTGTCTGAAAAAAATAATCAAGAAATAATACAAAAGTCAGGCACAATATTATTTTGTTGTGCATTCAAAAAATAAAATGGCCAACACAGCATACCTACTCCAGATCCATTCCCCAGGAGGATTTATGCTACTTTAATTTGAAAAATATATAGGCAATTGTAGTAAATTAAACAGGCCTATTCTCTTGTAGTCAATGATAAAATGGAGTGCCTGGGAGAGTCAAAACCCTACTAGCAATGCTAGATTCCCCAAAGAGGGTGGGGACTGAATGGCCATGGCTGTTACAATGCAGGATAGGTGGGAGGACTCTCATGATCAGGATGCACCCTATGAAAGGATAATCCCTCTGATGTGTATTCTGTTCTGGCTTCCTCAGCACTGAGAAAACCTTATACTACTGAAAAGACAAGTTCCCAGATTTGCAGTTACACAAGTCAGTCTGAAGCATATTTTTAGCCCTGAAATTCACCAAAGAGGAGTCTTTAAATCTGTTGCTGATCCAAGTTGAAATATTGTATACTCAGACCAGTGTTATCTGAGAGAAGAAGAATTCCATATTAGATGGAATGGGAGATATAGCAAGAGAAGGAAACATTTTTGTAGTATTCTCCCATCCCCCCACATAGCAGCCCTTTGAAACTGCCCGGAGGTTTGGAATGCTAGGATGAATCCCCAGGAGGGAGATTATTGGGTAAAATGTTAAACAAGACTGGGGATTTGATGTACAGAGACCTCAATCTCCTTAGCATCATTGCAAACACACCAGTGGAAAGTGAGTAAAGGGTTCATGAATTGTTACAGTGGCCTGCTATACAAATTTGTGTAAAAAAAAAAACATCTAAGGAAGAGACAGAAAGACTGGCTTCATTTAAACTGATACCACCCAAAGATTGTGTTAAGATTATGACAGGTAAACAAGAGGAGTAGGGGATTGGAAATTAATGGACCAAAATTGATGCTTTGAAAATTAGGCCTAATTAGTGGACAAAATAATAAGCGGATGGGACCATTCCACCCATGGCCTGTTTCTGGGGCCCTAAAAAGGGGCTTGTGTAAAGAAAAAAAAAGACTTCTATCACCACTGTGGCTGTGGTGGAAGGATTTTTGCCACAACACCCAGACCCTGATACTCCAGTGAGGGGGCTCAACCATTACCGCTGCACCAGCAAGGAGCCCAGCCTGATACTTGTGAGATTCCACTGTTTTCCTCTCTCTCATCTATCCCTTTTCATCCCCCATTACCTTTCTCCTGCCCCCTCTCTCTCTCTCTCAGCTTCTCTCCGATCCTGAAATCAACTATACTGCATGGCACCAGCACAGGGAGATGAGATGCCCATTCAGCAATGCTTGGCCCAAGAAGGACCAGTGAAAGAGGAACCTGACCAGACCAATCAGATGATGTTCCAATCCAGCAAGGCAAGCCACTGTACACAGCAACAGCTGTTGTAGCTGACTTGCCAGCACAGAGTATCCATCCATGACTGACCAGCTGATCTGTATCCTAAGGACATCAACAAAAATCATATTTCCCCCCATCTTTACTATCCTGTGTCTTCTCTCCCTTCTGCTTTTGTCTTCGGTCAAAAGCAGGAAAGTGATTATCATTCCCAGCTTGAAATTGAACAACAGAACTAATCTTTTCTTCCCCACCAAACAGGACTGTTTGACAGAATAAGAGACTCTAACCAATATTCACCCTTTCTAAAAAAGAGGCTTTGATATATTTTAATTAAGTTTGTTTTGCTCAATCACTCAATTTCCTTTTCAGTGCTTTTTACTTGGTTTTGATTTTTTCCTTTGTGTGTTTCAGTCAACAGATTTCCAACCACTGGCATGAATTTCCTAGTGTATTTGCCACGAGACTAAGTGGACTAAGGTCCCTGCGTACCAAATCTTGAACCTTGTTTAACACTATTAGCAGGGTCATGTTTTACACCTTTGAGATAGTAAAAGGTGTACAATAATATTAACTTTATCATATGGCTCTGCAAATTATCACATGTACTACTCCAATACACATATATTATATGAGTAGATCTACTGATACAATGATTTTATAGTCAGATTTCCAGGTCAGAAGCCTTTGAATGTGTGTAGCAATGTATATGCAAACTCTAGTTATTATTTTTGTAACACCAAAGGTGTTTATGGCACTGCATGGACAAACAGGGATATATGTTCAAGCAAAATGAGCATTTGCACCCCCAAATGGTCAGTTACATATCTACATGGCTGTTTTCACAGCAGATGTACAATTGCCGTAATTGGGCACACAATTGTATAAAGACAGGCATCAGACTTTTAAAAAAATCTAGCACTACATCTGGGTAGCACCCACTAGCATTATGATACCGGGATAGACAGTGCTATAATAAATCTTTCTGACAATCAGTTGTACAGTATGGCAAAACACTATTGCACTGGATGTCAATCATGTTTATACGGAAGATGAAATCAAGCCTCACTGACTTTATTTTTTTAGTTTGTTTTTCATTACTATTATTTCATTGGCATTTTTAACTGCTTTCCTGTGCCAGCACTGATGCTATTCCACCTGTCCTCCTTTTTTCTTTTAACTTACAGGTCACATCCAGTTAATCTGAGTGACTCACATAGTGGTCTGTACTTGCCTTTATGTAGTATGCAACTCTTGTTATGAGTAAGCACACATCATCCATTAATGTTAATGGCAGTTATACACACACACACACACACACACACATTAAGGGGAGAATAGATCCCTTGGATGCTGAAGTCAATTTCCTAAATAAGCAGTTAAATTTTAGCTAATATCTATCTGTGTTATTTACAGAAATGTTTGGTTTTGGATAGCTTTTCATTTGAGCAGCTGGAAGGCAAGGTATTGTGCCAATATATTTTTTTATGGAAAAATAAGGTTTGACAGCAGTATATACTCAATCTTTAAAATCCTAAGAGAACAGTAACACTCCAAATGGGCACAAATAAATTCCAACCAACTTTTCATTTAATAATAAATCTGAAAATTAACTTTTCTGGCGCTTAGTGGAAAAAAGGACATAACACCTTTAACACCCTAAATATGTATTTGAATTAATTTGTTCATACTTGGAACATAATTGCTCCCTTTATGCTAATATATTTTTTCACACGGTTGTTATATTATGAATACAACGAATTAGACTTACTTCATTTCTATGTTCTAAATGAGCAATTAAAGTATAATTACTCTGCAGTTGCAGACTTTTAAATTTAAATTGGTGAGTGGCTGCTGTAAGTTGTCTGTAATTGTACGTGAACTCACTTGCTTTATTTTAAAACAACACTATATAATTTAATACAACTGAACCTTAACACATTTCTTCATGTGGGTGGGTAAACATGTAGAGTAAGATTCAGCCCTAGGCTACACCATCTCTTGCCAGCGTAACTGGGGCCACGTCTACACTACAAAATTATGTCAACCTAACTTACATCAGTATACAGCCACCACAGTTATTAAATCGCTTGGTGTGTGCACACTTGGCATTTTGTGTCGGCAGTGCACATCCTCCCAGAAGCATTTGTTTCGATTGTATAGCCAGTGTGAGGCATTGTGGGATGGCTCCTGAAAGTCAGTAATAGTCGACATAAGTAACATGGTGTCTACACCATCACTGTCAACCTAATTACATCATCCGTTACCTCTGCATGGAAAGATAGGAAGTATGCCAAGAAACCACCCGGGCTTTAACCAGGAGATCTTCAATGATCTCAAACTCAAAAAGACATCCTACAAAAATGTGGTGTTACTAAGTTGACGTAGAGAGGCACTTACATCAGCAGAAGCCAAATTTAAGTGAAGACACCTCCACAGCTAAGTCGATGCAAGGCAGCTTACGTCAACCTAATTGTGTAGTATAGACCAGGCCTCAGAAGATGTCATGAAGCTGATCCTCAGGCTTATCCTGTGTAGCCCAAAAAGTTGGTATTGTTAGCCAGGAGGGGGCACAACCAGGTGATTGGGTAGACTCTGAGCAGATTCCAGCCCTGGAACCCTGAATACAAATTAAAGCTGCCTTCCACTTGTGAAATTCCCAGGACTGTGGTATAGTGCAAACAGCATCTTCCCTCTCCTGGGAATGAACCCCCATTATAACCGCTCCTGCTAGCCCAGGACCAAGGCTTACACTTCTCTACACCTGTGGCGGTAAGATCAAGCCCATAAATGCAACCTTTACTCACATGATTAGTTCCTCTTTACCCAATGAGACAGTTTGCATTAGGGTCATTTATTCCTGCATGTGTGAGGGTTGAAGGATCCAGTCCATATGTGATACAGCGTGTTTTGATATAAATACCTAATAATTCCGAGTGGTAAATACATCTATATGTATTTGCTAACCATTGAGTGGTTTATAGGATTAATTGAGACATCTAATTATTCTCACTTAATAGTTTAATAATTTTAGAAGATTAGCCAGACAACACTGCACAATATTTTGAAATCAGTGTGTACTGGACCATTCTGTGTTCATTAGCTATTTTTTTACAATACTTTGAACATCTTCAGCTTATTGATAGACAGTTCTTTTGATTTTTAATACATATTATACACACAACAATTATATTAAAAGTATGTCATTTAGGTTGAAAAGTCAAGCACTCAAAAGTTAGGAATTTCCAGATTTATGATTGCCTATGCAACTTTAAAGCTGTCCCCTATGTGCCTATTCTGTGCATTGAATAAAGCAGATGTTCTGTGGGGACAAAATAGTATGTTATAATGTAGTTTAAAGACTATATTAAAATGCATACACAAGGGAAAAGAATTAAAGCTGTATATCTCTTTGTCTCTCCCACCCCTCAGGAGTTGGTGGAGATTCTGTGCCACATGCTACTCCCAGGGCGAGGGTTAATGGAATAGTGGAAAAGGTCATTTCTGGATCTGGAGGACCCAGCACAGCTCTCTTCTCTCCAACCCTGCTACAGCTCCTTTGCCAACCCTCTTGTGTTCCCAAAGGAGTGTGTGGTGATGCTGCTGCTCCATAAGTCTGGCCTGGGAACGTTCAGTGATTTTGGCAGGCCATCAACAGTTTTCTGAGAAACACAAGTGAAAGGAGGGAACTAGTGATTTTTAATACTTTATTTCTCACTCTAATCTAATTGGAATTTCATGGGACAAAGAAAAGGGCCTGCTGCCAACAATGGAACTATGAGACCTTCTTAACAGAAAAAATTGCAAGAATCTCTTATAATGGATAACATTAGGCAACCTAAATATAGGAATTTCTACCAGCTTCCCCTTAAACTAAATAAATAAGGGAAAAGACATTTCATAGAAATTCCTGGCTATGTACCCTGAGTTTCATGTTATTCTCTAAGACACAACAATAAGGTAAATATGCTAAATTAACCTAGTTCTGCATATGATAACATTCATACATGCTTGTCTATTGGACCCTCTGATGCCAATCCTTATTCATGTGAATAAAGTTTTACAGAATTATGTCTTATATTTGTAATAGTTGGGAATGGAAGCAGAGTTCTGTAATCATGCAACAAGAAGGACCTCTCTTATGTGGACACAGGACACTTCCTTCCTTTTCTGCTTCCTAATTCTTGTTCATAGTAAGGCATTAACATTTCCCAAAAACATTAATAAAAGAGGCTCTGAAAAACAATTCATTTGTGAACTTTTCCTAACAGGGAATAGACCCAACTGGCTTGTGCTAGTTACACATTTCTATGGGAATAACCATGTTTTTCTTTTAAAAGCCTAATAGTAGTATAAGAATTCAGAATCAATGTGGGTCCGCACAACCAGAAACATCTGTCAATGGTTTTTAGTTTCCTGTACTCTGCAAATGAAGATCTAGGCTAGAAACAAATCTTTTGAACAGATGGACATGCACTATTTCTTGGAACTCTGAAATCCATACAGTGTGCTTGCCATAAACTATCATTCATATGCAATTCATGAAAGCAGATGACAGTTTGTACTGCCACTTGTGCATGTTCATCCACTCTGAAAAAGATCAGCTTATAAGATTGGCAGGCACTCGCTGATATAATTGTACTACTGTGCATTTCTATAATGCCTTGCATCTGAGAATCTTAATGTTTTTTATAAAGGTTAACTAAATAAGCCTCATAACACCCACGTGAGATAAGTATTTTATTATTCCCTTTTTAGAAGTGAAAAAACTAGAACGCAGAGATGTTAAGGACAAAAGTTTCAAACACGGGTATCTACAAGTAGGCACATAAATCCAGATGTACTACACAGTAGGTATATGTGGATTTACATGTGCCCAGCTGTAGGCAACCACGTCCCTGGGAGCTCAAGAAACTGTTTCAAAGGCTCTGGAAACTTTAACACCATTCAACCATACTTTCCGTAGTGTATGCCTGATCTACTAGTTAAAGGAGAGAGCTGAGAGTCAGGTTGTTGTCCTGGTCTGCCAGAGACTTGATATTTGGCTTAGGCATGTCACATAGACCAAAATTTTCAAACTTGAGTGACTTCAGTTACATTTGTACGTGCTCAGCACCTCTGAAAATCAGGCTATTTACTCAGATGCTTGTAGTAAACATAGGACAATTAACTTTTAATGAGTCTTAGGCTCCTTGGTGCCTCAGTCACTTACGTACTTCTCAAAATTTTAGCCACCTAAATTTGAAAATTTTGGTCTAAGCAGTTTCCCAAGAATCCCACAGTAAGTCAGTATGAGAGAAATCTAGATCTCCTGATTCTCTATTCTGTGCTTGAACTAGTAGATAAAGCTTATTCTGTATACGAAACAGAACATTTCCCAATACATCCAATGGCTGTAAAGTTCCCTGAGTCTTTGAAGACACCAAACATCAAACCTTTCCTGTCTTTAATAAATTATTTCTAGTTGGGATTGGTCAGGGATTAGATTTGCACAAATTCCTTTCTTTAGGGCCTTCCATTATGAAGAAAATAGCTGTATTGTAGACTGAGTGCACACTGGTGCCAACATGACATTTTAGGGCATAGTTCTACTTTTCCATGTGCACCCAGAGAAGTCAATGGGAAAAGTTTGATGTGCAGGGAATGCAGAATTGGGCTCTTGGCTTTAAAACTTAGAACATAAGAATGGCCCTACTGGGTCAGACCAAAGGTCCATCTAGCCCAGTGTCCTGTCTTCCAACAGTGGCCAGTGCCATGTGCCCCAGAGGGAATGAACAGAACAGGTAATCATCAAGTGATCCATCCCCTGTCACTCATTCCCAGCTTCTGGCAAACTTGATCCAAAACAAAACCCCAGATAAAAATAAAAGAGTCAGAATTTTGGGAAAGTTTGGCACCTAACCTGAACTTTGCCACTCAGTCCATCTCTACTTAGTATGTACTAAACCATCGTTAAAGCTGGGACTATAGACAAATCGCTATTCATTTTAGAGCACTGCATATTTTTCAGGAAACTGCACAGGTCTCCATAGTATTTTATCTAAAATATTGTTTTTAAACAAAAGTAGTCAACATCTACCAGTCTTTAGGAATATAGTAGAAGCCCCTGCTTTGCCTTATACTGAACTTTTTCTGGAGTTTTGAGTGATCCAGTGCAGGATGAAGAGCTATTTCCTATGAAAATATAAAATGCCTAGCTGAGAATGTCCAGTACATTCTTCTATTCTGTTCTATGTAAGTTCTCATACTGCTCTCATCTCCGGAGTGTCTGAGTCCCTTCCAGTAGAGTATTGGTACATGTTCTTGGTATATTCTTGACCAACCCAAATTCAAGGAGTTTGTTCTACCTCTGAGAGCAGGATTGGAGAGGAAAGATCATTAAAGGCAGAAGAAAGATCCTAGATGGCAGTTGGCTGACACCTCTACACTGTTTAGCATCAGAGTATATCATCTTTCCTGAAGATACACCCAATTACTCTTCGTATCAGTAACCCAAGGTTCATGGGCATGTGGAGCACTATAAGTAACTACAATAAAGAATAAGGTACAGCAAATCCTGTTAAGACTGTGGAAACCGGTATTTGTACACACCTGCTGCTGTGTGAGTAATAAACCAGGGCTGGAACACATTTCTGGAGTGGTTTTGACTCTTTATTCCTCAACGAACCTTCTGGCCCTTCCTTAGAATCCGACCAAGCCTAGGATTCACCACAACTAGTGCTCCAGCGTGGAGCCAGGATATTTTGTGTGTGTGGAAAAATCAAAAATTGTCATCAGGCACAGCAGAAACCTCCTTTTTCTACTTCTCCATTCAGACTTGAAGAGTTTTACACGTTTGCCTAAGAAACAAACATATGTCAGGTACTACATTGTTATGGAATTAATTACATCAAACAAAACTGGGATTCATGGAATATACAGAATGACCCAAAAAAATGTTTTTGAGAAAAGATAACTTCCCGTATCAAAAGTGCATTGATATCAAAGAATAAGAAAAACCAATCACAATAATGTCAGGGGAAAAGATTTAAACATACTTAAATTTAGCAAAATATTCTATTTGTCAGCAAAAGCAAACAGAAATGGATCACTAACATTCATTTCATACAAGTACATCAACAGTTCTTAATTCTGATAAGCCAAATACTGGAAAGACCTTTGAAAATAAGTAATTAGTAAGACCTGTGATGTAGAAGAAAGAGACATAATGTAAGAATTATTTTTCTGAAAGATGTGTGTTCTTCCCATATGTAGTTAAAGAAAAAAAGCATAGACCAGTCTGGGAATTTTGAATAGACGAATAGTCAGAAGAGAACTCTCCTTACACTCAATGCTATTGTGGTGTATGCTATAGGAAACCCTAAGCTTTATACATACAGCTTTATAGGTATATAAAGTATTAGGCCAAACTTTTCAAAATAGGATGCCCAAAGTTAGGCATCTAGATCCACATTTAGATATCTAAATAAGTGGTCTGTGGATTGATTTTCAGACACACTGAGCATGCTCAGCACCTCTAAAACTCAGGCCATTTTATTTAGGTACTGCCTAATATACTGCCTGATATTTTTTGGTGTTAAGAATCAAGGTCATACAGCCTGCCTTCAAGAAGTTTGCAATGAGATCTAAGATTTCACGTATAAACTCAACATTTTGGTGTTTTAATTATGTCCCTAAATGTTAAAATACAAGCAAACAAATATAAGGGTAGGGGGAGAGGGGTGGAGGAGTTTTGTCTCTGATTTGTATATTTGCTTGAACTGGATCATTTACAAAATCACCTTAGCTCGTACAATTCACCGAGATAAACATCCTTCGGGTATGTTCTCTGAAGACAGTGGAGTCACATCAAGGAGGAATCTAGCCCATTAACGTTTTTAGTGTAACTCGTTTCCATCTTCTTCCAAAAAGTAACTCCATTAGAATGTATATGCTTTGTGTGAGTGCGCTTGTGCACACACTCATAATGCCTACGTATTCTGTATGTTCCTAGAGTACAGCATACAAATGAAAGTCTCGTAGTAGAATTGTTATGACATATTAGTACACCTCTTCCCCGATATAACGCTGTCCTCGGGAGCCAAAAAACCTTACCGCGTTATAGGTGAAACCGTGTTATATCGAACTTGCTTTGATCCGCCGGCGTGCGCAGCCCCGCCCCCCTGGAGCACTGCTTTACCGCATTATATCCAAATCCGTGTTATATCAGTTCACATTATATCGGGGTAGAGGTGTACTAAGAGCATCTTTTTGGATGACATAACTGTAAATAAAAATCAATTTTTCAAATAGAACCTTCTATTTTTTTCTATAACAGATAAACATGCAACAGTGCAACACAAGAATATATGTGGCTTATGCTGCAATCAGAACCCCAAAGTAGAATTTTAGCATTGTATAACTGGGCTGTAAAACAGTTAATTAAATACTAATAACAGTTTTCACTTCTATAGCGCTTTCCATCTGAGTATCTCAAACTGAAGACAAAGGTGGCAAAGTGTTTTTTGCTTTTTTGCACATGGGAACACTGTGGGGAAAGCGTCTCATAGAGGTACTGAGAGGTCTCACACTGACCTATCCATGGTCACACAGCAAACCAATGGGATCAGAACTTGTTTCCTAATGCCTAATCTCTTGCTCTAACCTATAAACAACATTATAATTGCAGGAAAAATATATAACATGGGGTTGAGGACATCTATTATTCTAAAGGGGGGGGGGAAATTTCAAAATCAGTTGAGAGTCACTTAGTATGCTTATTAACTCCTTTTTAAAATAAATTGATTTTACGGTTATTTTTAGTTTTAATGGGACAAGACTAAGTCCATAACTTCAGCTGAAAGCATGGAAGCAGGACCGTGCCCCAGATTATCCCCAATACAAATCCTGAATTTGCTGGACTTAATCACAGCCTATTTTCTTCAAATATAGATGGCATCACAATTTTGAAAGGAAGTTTCAATGGGAAGTTTGAAAGGGCTGTAACAAACTACATGAGCTAGAGGCAGACAAAAATAAAAATGGAGTCCTTACCTGTGATTTTAGCTTCTCTGTGTGTGTACCTGCTGGTCTGTCAGTGTGGTATGATGTGTTTTCTGCCTTTGCCCCAAGCTTCAGAGGCAAAGATTCCTTTTGTGATTTCCCCCCCAACTTGTTTGCCAGCTTCCCCGGCTGGCATTTTGAGGTAGTGCACTCATATTTGGCTCCTGGGAATACTGTCATAGCTGAGGGAATACGAGAACTAGAGAACAAGTTAGAAAACAACAGAGAAATTTCCAGGCAGAAATTTAAAAAAAACCCAAGTATCAACTTGAAATGCTTTGATAGTTTTCCTCTGTCTTTCCTTCCAGAGCTCCACTTGCATATGGAAAAAAGAGCTCCCCATGCTAGAAGAGAAATTTCAGACTCAGTCAAGACTAGTGGGTTCTGACAGAGTGGCAGATACTCATTTAAAGAAAATAAAATTACATTAAATGAAGCTAATTTCACCTTTCTCTTGCATGGGTATCCATCACTCCATCAGTCTAATATTGATAGGAAGCAGCAAAAGGTAGCAGAATACGAAGGTGAACAGAAAAAAAAATATCATCCTGTCCCTGCCCTTCAGGTCCTTATGGAAGAGGACCAAAGGAAGATGGAAGAACTTTCCACCTGCAAATTGTATCAGACCACGTAGCTGATCCAAGATGTAGAGATGGGATTGGCATTATTCCACACACATACCACAAATACAAATTTCTCCATATTCCCTCATGTTCCTCTTAGTTGGAGGCTTCCTAGAAAATTCCATCCCTCCCGTAACTCTGAACCAAGGTCTATGAGATGTAATATGGCTCTGGCTCCAAGCAGGTTCCAAGTCTCAGAGAATGAAAAGTTCAGTGTGTGTGTGCATGTGTAAGCACGCACTAAGGGGCCCTGGTAAATGAGAATGTGAAAGACCAGCAGGATCCTCAGTTGGTTTACACACAATGGATGTCTGAGCAAGTAGAGTTGTTAAGATTACTGTTGCTTATTCGCCTGATATTCCTAGCCGTCTCAGCCATTTGAGGGGAGTGAGGAAAAAAACATGTCAGTATTGCCCATGTAAAAAAAAAGAAAGATAACATATCCACCCTCCATGTTTAAGGATGTGAGTGGCAGACAGAAAATCTCACTGTCTTCCTGTCATGTTTTGTTACTGCTTCCTACATGGATGGTCTTAGGTTCTGGTAGTTAAATATCACATTCTTTACAACTTAACTCCCAGAAATAGAGGCTGTGATGTCATTCCTGGACCATTTGTCCTAAATAATGTGGGAGCCCATCTGAGCGCCCCACCCTGACAAGTTGCCATCTCATTGATCATGGACTGGTCAGAGAAATACTCTTACGTAGGTGTTGAGGGGATATCCACGAGGGAAGTGACAATTGTAGTGCAAAAGGAAGAGTGAGCAGATGATCTGACTTCTGTTCTCATAATTCAATCATCAATGAGAAAATTCTGCAGAAGGAGAGACGGCCTGGTCTCTACAGAGGACACCATCATACCCAGTAATGAAAGGCACTGGTGAGCTGACTTCTGTTGTTCGTCACACATCTTGGTAAGATTTTCCATCTTGTGGGCATACGGGCCAGTCTAAGGTTTGTCCAGAAGAAGTGAATGAGTTCCAGAAACTGAATTAAGGAGTTCTTCTTGTAACTGACTATGAATCTGTGGTTCTTGAGAATCTGGATAATCTTGCTGGCTGGTACAAAAAGCAGCTCTCTCTTATGATTGCACTCTGACCCTAGGATGATCCAAATAATGGTAAATATGGATGCCTTCCTGACTGAGACAAGCTAATCAACATAACTATATTTTCTAAAGTCTTGACGAGAGGAGAAGCGGCCAAAATGCACTGCCTGAAACTGGATGTTGTCATCTAATTGCAAAAGGCAGGTAGCATCGGTGATGTACACAGATATGACAATAGGCCTATTTGAAATCAACAGAACAAAGAAAATCTGGAGAGGCAACTTCTTTAGTGATGGTGTTCAACCAGAATTGGGGTTTGCAAACTACTAGGTTCATTCTTGAGAAGTCACAGGCTGGGGGGGAAAAACACCTCCTGTTCTCTTTTTGCACTGTGAAAGATCTTGACTAGAAACCAAAAAATGTCTTGAATACCGGCATAGTAACGATGGCCTCTAAGGTGATAAGTTTTGCTGCATTGTCCAGAGATGCGTGTCATTTTGTATCTGAAGAAGTGGGTTTTTTACCCACAAAAGCTTATGCCCAAATAAATCTGTTAGTCTTTAAGGTGCCACCAGACTCCTCGTTGTTTTTGTGGATACACACTAACACGGCTACCCCGATACTTGTCATTTTGTGAGGCCCTGGGGAAGAGGAGATGACAGGACAAAGAAAGGAGTGGAATCTTGAAATTTTCTGAGGAGTCCTACTGCAACTATTTCAAGAGCCCATCTAGCTGAAGTAGTATTGGCTCAAGGTCAAATAAGTTCTTCCATCTTCCTCTTACAGGGATGAACTCCTGAGCCAACAGGCTTCATTCATAGAGGAAAAGCAGCATGTGAGGGCCCTCTCTGGTTGTGGTTTGGAAAATATTTTCTGGCATTGATGGAGCAAGAGTGACAAAAAGAAAAATGGTTTTGAATGGCTGAAACTTAAAAGTTGTGGTACAAGGATTTACCACTCACTCTGGAGTCTCTTGAAAAGGGTTGATTTGGGGTGATCTTGTTCAGGTCTGAAGAATCCTTAATCATTTTCTCGAACAATTCTCTCAAAAGTTTCACCCCATTGAAGAGTGTCTTGATAACATTGGTCCTGGAGGTCACATATATCCCTACAAACCTGAGACAC